AAAGAAGTATTTGTCTGAACCAAGACTGGTTGCGTGAGAATGCTTCAGAACTGAGAGTTGGGCATCGTGGACTTGACAATGGACCCCTAGAATTCCCCTTGGAATGTTTTTTGCTGTGTTTTTTATCTTTTCTGTATGGTACACAGCTCTTCTACGCTCAGATTTTTGGATTTCCATGCAGGCTTATACTCCCCACTCAGCAAATTTCTGCATTCCTCACAGCACATTCATTGTCTTTCCTTAGTGCTAAAAATATGCTTTCTGTATCTCTTCCTGAATGCTTTCAAATCTCCTGCAGCTATTTTTCCCCCTTTGGAGTCTATGAGCGCATGCAGTTTGCCCATGCTTCAGAGAGTATTTCATGGAAGGCTGTAAGATTGCTAAGCTGACTTGCAATGAAACACCAAATGCAGTGGCCTGAGTGTCTGGAGAAATTATCACATTGGTTTATATGGCCCGATTTGGCTCCAATCCCAGATTTCAACATCTGCATTCAACAAAAGGTCCTTGATGCCAATCAAGCCACTACAATCTTGACGTCCAACCTCTTGCAATGCAAGAATCCCAGTTAAAGAGCCCAGACTGAGGGCCATCTCACTTCTGGCTTCTGCAGCTGTGCGTAAAAGCCTCACTGATTCTATTTGAGGACCATGACTGACACTAACACTTCCATCATAGTACCACTGAAGTGAGCTTTGGAGGATCCACCCGTGACTGAGTTTTGCTTTGGAAGATGAACTCTGGAGGTCCCCACTGTGGGACAGATCGTCCTGGTTTGGGTATCAGCATGATTTCCACATGTTGTATTTGCTATTATTGCTGGGTTCCAAGGTATTGCCAGAGGATGCTCCAAGGGCCCATAAGATACTCAGCAGCAAAGGGGGTACCACAGGCTGGTGAAAACCCTGTCCAGGATTCCAAATACTCGAGGCAGCATCATGAACTCTAGAGGAGGAGAGTCAGAGCTGGAGCATCCAAGGCAAGGCTGCAACAGACCCGGCATTTCCACAACCTCCATCCCCTCCAGCTTAGGCCACCAGGCTCCATGGAAATAACAGAGCAACTTGGCACTTCTGCACATTTCAGTCTTCTGATGAATTCTATTCTCCTCGTGCTAGTGGCCTGAGTGGAGTCCTTGGAGTTCTCTGAGCTTGGTTGTTTTCTTGCAAACATCTGGAGGCTGAGTCATGGCAACTGGACTTCTTTTCTTTTGGTTTGATACATTTCGCTGCTTGTCCAAGCAGCTTCTTTCTCCTCGTGCTAGTGGCCTGAGTGGAGTCCTTGGAGTTCTCTGAGCTTGGTTGTTTTCTTGCAAACATCTGGAGGCTGAGTCATGGCAACTGGACTTCTTTTCTTTTGGTTTGATACATTTCGCTGCTTGTCCAAGCAGCTTCTTCAGTCTAAGCTAGGGTGAAGAAGCTGCTTGGACAAGCAGTGAAACATATCAAACCAAAAGAAAAGAAGTCCAGTTGTCATGACTCAGCCTCCAGATAATTCCACCTGGATGACTGAGAATCTTCATCAACATATTTTCTTGCAAACGTTTCATTACCCAGCTAGGTAACATCTTCAGTGCTAGA